ATACATACATATGTATATGTATATGTGTGTGTATGTGTGTGTACGCAATGCAACGCCTACTTAATGTCATGTAACGTAATGTAACGTATACCATGCGACCAATGCAGGTAACATACGGGACTGTAAGTTTTAATGCAAATCCAACGCGCATTTTTCAATGTCGAAGTGAAAGTATGCGTACAACAAGTGAATGCAAATGCAACGCAACTGTGCGCGTTTGCATGCATGTGTCGCCTGTGTGTACGAAGTGATACTGCCCCATCGTTACTATATCTTGCCATTCCAGCATGTATGGTGTCTTTAAGCTGGCTACGGTCTGTGTGCGTGTGATGAGATGTTCGGACACGGTTTTCCGTTACAGACATTGGTTTGCTGTTAACTCGGGTCTTGTCTCAGACAAGTGCCTTCTGTCAGACAAGGGTGCTGCAACGTCTCCTCTTTAATGGGCAGACCCTGAAACTCTTAAAGACACTGTTTGTTTTGACAAGTATTGTACAGCCGGATCTGGCAGAGAAGTCCTCTGGACTGATGGTCCATTGCACCACGTCCATGCCTCCGCATCATAAGGATTCTCAGGGGGACACCACTACGCCGCAAGGAACCTTTGCATCTATGAAAGCACTCAACCGATGCCGTCACCGTCACGACAGCAACGGCCTGGCAGAAAGCTCTCCTCCAGTACTTAGGCTGGTCAAAAGGCACTTGTTCTTGCCCTCCTAATTCGCCTGATACTGAAGTCTACCAGGCAGATGCGGCGCCCTGGGGCACGCACATGACGCCGCGAAAGGGAGCATGTAGTTTGCCTGGGGCTCCGGTCTCTGCATCCCCACCTGGCTCGTTTTTTCTGGCCGAGAAGCAATGTCGGACCAGAGGAGAGCTGCCTCGAGGTCTCCACGGAGAAGGGCCAGCTGCGAGCACATGATGAACGTGCCTTGAAAGCGCCGAGGCTTGCAGACTTGCTGAGCCATGCTTGGAATCTCAGCTTGAAGTAGGGTTGAAGTAGGGCCATTGGGGAGAATTGAAGTTGCTTTCAACTGCAAGCTTCAAGGGGCAGAACTCAAGTCGGCCGACCCGGGCTCTGTTGAGACACAGCTGCTCATCTGACCGGGTGCACAATCTGTCGCCGCTGCCGTGGTTGCAGTCCAGCCCAAGCTATTCTCCTCCTGCAGTTTGACGCGTCTTAAATCTGCTGCAGGTCGGTGGGCAAGCACAGCGCGTGGAGGTTCCGCAGAAGTCGGAATGATCTGATGCACACTCTAAACCACGAAATCCTTATGTGAACAGTGGTATCGCAACTGTGCACGTGACGCTGATCTTGCTTAGTGTCGATTTTGCTTACACATGCAGCAGATGGGAGCGAAATCAAAAACCGACTTCCCTCCTTCTGCAAGTCTCGACAGGAGTCGAAGGTGATGGCCTGCAAGTGCACGATGAAACAACGAATTCTGGGCCGATTAACGTTGCAACCACAGCCAGCCTCGCGGATGCCAGAGGTTTCGTCCATCGCCTGCGCCGTTCAACAGCCAATCGTCCATTGTAGTGAGACCGTCGGATCGACATAGCTACACGGGACTAAATTCTGCATAGAATCATGCGTTCTAGATTACTAGATAGATGTAGTGTGATATACCGAGCATCGGGTACTGCAGCAAATGCGGCGGATCCTTGGGGATGCTAGTGTACACTTCTGTACAAAAGCGTCTACTACAAAATAGACACCAAGCACCAAAGGTCTGCACCCTCCTCGGAAGCTGTGATGGATTCAGAAATAATCGATCCTTGGACATGCACGTGGCAAACCATACTAATTCGTAGGCTACGAACTCGTAGGTCAAGAATATCAATATTTTGAACAGTGTTAGGTGGCAACGCTGAAGAAGTCAAGACTGTTGTGATTACGTAGCAGGTTCAGCGGCTCAAGCTGCAGCAAAAGCGTCATGGCCCCCGTCGATGTATCATAGATTTGAGGGAATCGGCCTTGTCTGCAAAGTCTTCTGTAAACCTGGCACGAAGCGCCGGATCTCTAGTGAATGCACCTGAACATCGTCGCTGCCTCTGCGCACCCTACACTTACAGCTGCCACCGCACCCCAAGAGCACCAAGCTGGTCAAAGCCACGTGCGGGAGATGACCAGCTGCATCTGCACCCAGTGCTCGTAGAAGATATGACAGGCACAGCTGTCCAGCGGGAAGTCCTGGGCTCTCGAAATCCGAGTCTCTGAGCAGCCACAAACCCTCTTGCAGGCAGGACACGTACTGAGCATGAACATTCGCAAGAAGAAGCCCTCCGGAAAGAAGCCGTTGAGCCCATCGCCATCCCATCAGAAAGGAAGGGAAGCGCAGGAAACACAAATCTCTGGAGGCCGCGGAGGACTTGTCAAGGCTGCTTAAGTAACTGCTCAAATGTTCCATCATGTTTACATTGTCGACCTCAGGCTGGCCCGGGTGTTGGAGCACGCGGCTGAGACGGAGTATGGAGTTCTCCTATCTGACTTGGCCGATTTGCGCTGTCGCTCTTGATGACAGCATCCGGCTCTCATGGCTAGAGTTGTTCGAGTCGTGGGCAGTGAACGCACGAGTCTGCCTGTTTGAGCATGGGAGCTGCCAAGAAGAACACGACCATGTTTTAGTTGGACGGCCCTGCACTTGCCTACAGACCGGCGAACCTCTTTAATGACCCTTACAATCCTGCGTCGACGGCCAAAGCACCCCACAATCCCAACCCCTTAAACGTACGTCCTTCGGTGCAGTAACCTTGGTTGTGAAAGGAAGCTACCTGTCGCTACGCACCTGAGTTCCGTGCGAGTACCAGACTACGTCAATTCATCAGGACGCCCAAACCCCTTGGCTCGCCTCGGCGCCGAACTGGTTCCCGCACCAGCTCGGCAACCCCCTCCTTTTGACTGAACCGAAGGCATGTGTCCAACTGCTCGATACGCGGGTTAGGTATGCGAAGATTGTAGGCCGATGACTTTGAGCTTGTGATAGCGCAACTTACGCTGGCAAAGAGTCCCACTTTCCAGTTTCAAAGCACCGGCAAACCAAACTAACGAAATCATGCTAACATCATGCAGCTCTCTCAAAATGCAGTATGCTGAAGGTCCGCTGTAGGTGTATTCGGTTTAGTACTCTTCTGTCTCCTCCTCATCGACTCGCAGCTCTTCGTAGTCGTCCATTTGTTGGCGCACGTCCCTGGAAGCAGAGGCATCAGGACTCGGCAGGCATGCAACACCCCTTCCAGAATCACAGCATGAAGGCCTCGCAGTCATTGCTTGAGACGCTGATGCTGCCCGCTGTAGCTTGTGCCAGATGGCCGCAGACGGTCAGAGCTGCGGGACAAGGCGAAGCTTCGGCAACTGCAAGGGGGAAACCTGATCCCAAAGTCTTGGAGAGCATTCGAGAGCAGTCATGAACTCAAGGCCACGAACTGGTCATTACCCTCTAAGTATCCCAAAGACTCCGGGCCCTTTGCTTGCCAATGTCGCAATACTTGCGGGTGCACCTCGCCGAGCGAGAGAAGGCTACGGGCTTGGTTCCACTTCGGATAAGTGATGCTCGGACGAAACATGGCTGTTCGACAAACCTCTGAGCGTCCCGCCCCAGACAAAGATCAACAGAGTGCTTCGCGGACTGCCTAAGTGGAATCCGAGCATTTGGAGGTCACGGCCCAACTGCATCGGCCCAGCATCTAAGTCAGACGGCTCTCCTGCATCGAAATAACAGTGGTTACTGGATGCTCTCGGACTTAATGAGTGTTCCAAGATCTCGAAACCTCGCTCAGAGCTCCCCAGCTGGCTAGCCACGAATGTTTTCCCAGTGACCTCACCACAACAACACCCGTGACCTCACGACGACAACACTTTATCGTCAAACTTCATACAGAAGCGGTCGATTCAGGCAGACCTGACGGCATCAACCGACACAGAGCCACTGTGTTGAGATGCAGACCATGTCCCCAATCTCAACCCAACATGGAAGACACCTTCCAAGGTCACCTCGGCGAATGCTTCGAAAGAAGGATTCAGAGATTAGTTTCTCACCCTAGGACCTATGCTCACACTGCACAGTATGTCGAAGCCATTTCGTACCTTGACCAGAGTCTGTCTTTCTCTCCTTCACTCTGCGGGGCGAGATCCGCTCTCGCGGGCCCCGGGCCGGCCAAAGGTCTCTCTCTCTCGCTCTTTCTCCCTCTATCTCATTCGGCCGTCCCGAGATTAGACTCTTAGACTCTTCGACCAGACTGGCAAACGTGGGCAGCACAAGCAAGGCTACGTGGCAAGCCAGAAGAAAAAGTCCCGGGATTGAGGCTCACGCAGTTTTGTTCGGATGGCACACGCTGCACAAAAACAGTTTCAAAGCCTGCTGCGCGAACTACCAGTATGGCCAACCTGATGCAAATCAGAACCTCTCAGCTGCTCTCTGCAGAGCCCCTACTTCCAATCTCTGTATCACAGAGCCCCTGATCTACGGCGAGACGGGCGCGATCCCGACTTTCCGGAAGACCTCACGAGCTCGCTCAGAGAAGTCTTGGTGCTCCTGCAGTCAGAGCTTCTTTCAGACACGCGACGGAGATGAGTGCTGATCCTGCCTGACAGGCATGACAAGCACACCGGAATGTTGCGAAAGGAGATATGAAGCAAGGCATCGAAGCGTCTCGTGTCAGGTTAGTTCTCCTCTGGAGCGATGCCCTCGTTGGTAGCTTCGTCGCGTAGATGCTCAGACCTCGCCTTCCGTTGGGGGCACTAGGCGCTACGGACCAGAACCTCGTGGCAACTCGCGGCGCACAAAGAGTGTATTCTGCGAAGCGCGGGTAGGGACAGCGGGGGTGGATGAAGCTTTAAGGCTTTATCACTCAATCCCTGCAATCATGCCGCATCCCCATCAAGCCCAAGCCCCATCTCTGGGCCCCCTCTCAGCGCCTGGAGCTCCAACAGCTCCTCCGAAACCTGACCACAGATACCAGGCTGCAAGGCGCCTATAACCCGACCTGTGCATACAACAGTGTTCGAGCAGACCAAAGGCTGAAACGCTCAGCTCCGGGCACTCGTTTCCCAAGCGGCGGCATCCCGCAAGACGGAAACCGTCATCCAGTCCTTCCAGGAACTTTCTGACAGCTGTGAGAAGTCGTGTCGATGCATCACGACACACTAGAGCCCCGCCTCTTCTTCCGGATTTGCTACCTCCCTGACCGGCATCACGACAGTGTGGAAACCTGGCAGACAAATCATCTCGCTGGCAGTGTTCGTAAGCATCATGACAAGTTGATGAATTTTCATTCAAACGACAACAACCACAACCACAAACAAAAATAACAATTGAAAAGAGCAGAACTAGTCTTAGGAACGGCAGCAGCACCATCATCCATCAACAGCAACACTGGCAGAAGCATCGCCATCGTCATTGTCACACTGACCATCATCATCTTCTTCTTCCACCGCAGTTGAAAGTCCAAGTCTGACCCTCAAGCTAGCGAGCACCATACAAGACGATCTTATCGCCTCGGCCGTTTGAAATGGCAGGCACGAATGCTCCGTAGAGCATGCACTCCTTGGTTAAAAGCGTCATCATCATCATCCTGACTGGCACCATCATCATGACAATCATGATCGCAGTTACTACCGCTTCGCAGCTCAAGGGTGCTTCAGAACCGATTCAAAGCACAAAGAACCCAAACAGTTCCGACGAAAAAAATCCAAAGCTGGAGCTTCTCGGAAATGTGTTGGTCAAAAGGGCGAGACTTCTGTGGCACGTTTTGGTGCCAATGAGTACTTCACCAAAGCGGGACGAGATGAGACCAGGACTTGCACCACGCCTTCAGGATTGTAGGCATCATCCTTCACGTCAACATTAATGCATATCAACGTTCATAACGAACCCTTCCTGTGCGTGCCGTCAGCAGGCACAGTTGCAGCAATGGTGACAACAACAACAGCTGCAGCACGCAAGAATGAAACCAGTACCGGTAACAGCAGCACAGGCACTCAGAAAGCCCACATCAAAAACAAAGGAGGGAGGCTGAAAGAGGCACCAAACAGCTCAGGCTGCCGGTGCAGAGGAGGACAAAGACGAGAACGTTGGAGAGAAAATGGATGAGAGTCAGGACGAACACCGAGCAAGCGACCGTCGTGCGAGACTTTTCACTGGAGCAGCTTGACAGCTTGGCCTGGGCCAGTCACACGCCCCGCAAATTCGGCCGCTCCCGTGCGAAGAACGTTGTCCTCGCATCGGAGGCTAGCGACTCATCGACAAGCTCATGTTTTGATAGACCTTCGGTCGGTTTTCGGCGAGAGGCAGATGAGGCAGTCATGCTTGCGGTTTCCGAGGTGTTGATGGCTCTTTCGAGGCTCTAGAGCTGGGACCGATCATCTGTTGTGAGAAGTCCGGAAATAGGGTGCTTGTCTAGCGTCCGCGATGAGCACCGATCCAGTCGACAGCAGCGCATGTCGATGAATGAGTGCCTCAAGCTCGGATCAGTCAACCCCCGGCGGCCGCCAAATGGTCAGCGTTGGTGCGGAATGTCGATAACAGATTTGGGTCATGCATCGACTGCGCAGATCGAGTTGGCTAGTGGCAGACGGAGAAGCCAAACAGATCTCGCAAGAACCGCGATTCTTGGAGTCTGGCTACTAACTTTACAAAATCAAGCGGCCTGCGTCAGGGGACCAGCACTACGACATGCTGTTCACAAACTGCGGAGCTGCAACAGACCGCTGAGGCTCCATCTCCTCCTCCTCCCTATGCAGGACTCGAGCCCCGGACTATCCGAAAACCAGGGCTTGAAGCTGAGCAGCGAGGACGTCTGCGTACTGGGCACCCCAGACATCAGCGAAGATGCCAGAAAAGCGCTGTCCCTGGAGCCCTGGCAGCCGAAACCTGGGCAAACAAACGAAGGCTCAAGACGTCTCAGGGGCCGAGGAGCTTCTTCACAGCCACACTCAGTCACGTCTCAGATAGACCATATTCGGAATGCAGGGAATGGCATTAGCTAACAGAACTAGCGGTAGCAGCGACAGTAGTGACATGAACGAGCATACATCGAGATGCGGATAGAAAGTACCACCTCATCAGGATATTCATCTCCTGTGTGGGGGGTTCGTGTTTGCTTAACTAGAAGCTCTTGATCCTTTCATAGTGCTGTGTGTTGCGATGCATTACACTCACTCCACAACAAGAAACTGGAACCTTCCTGCTAACCGCATACCAGGCAATCTGTCTACGTTCCTCCCCACAGCTGGCCTGGGATGAGCAGTGCCCATTTCATGCAGTGCATGCAGTGCCCTCAATGCCCCCGGTGCTCAGGAAGCCCTGAAGAGGTGAGCTGGTTTTTGCCTCGGACCCCCCTCGCTGTGCCGGCAGGCCTGGTGTGACCTGGAAGCACACGCACGCGGTCGCCGACTCCTGAGCTGCAGCTTAGCGACTTCTTCGGACATGCTCCAGCCTTGGTGACTCTCTTAGACAGGCGCCACCGCACACACGAAAGTGCGGCAGAGCTGAAGTTGTCACGATCAGGTAAAGCGGCCTGCCACACCGGCAGTGCCTTCAAACGCGACAACCACATGTTTCGCCACCAGGTCTGCTCACAGTCTCTGCTGCCCAACGCACCTCTAGAGACAAGTTTTTAATACAAAATTTCACAGACGGTCTCCAACAAACATCAAATCCTGCTATCTAGCACCCACGCACGCTGCTCGGGACGTTTCTAAACCTTCCGCGGCGTGTACTGCGGCTTGGGCCTAGTTTTGTCTAGGCGTCGTCGGCTTATACAGTGCAAAGCTGAAGTGATTTTTGGTATTACACTCCCACCTCCTTCAATCAGGAAGTTTGTGGAGCTCAAGACGCAGACTTCTTGCTCTGCTTCCAAAAACACCCCCGAAACAGAAGTCATATGTCTAAAGTTCTTTTGGGCACCGACTGGCCCACGATTAACGTCCGACCCAGCGAACACCCTGGCAGTGCAACGATGAAAACGCAGATCGGGAGCCAGCAAAGCCCAACAAGCAGCGCGCCAAAGCCACCATCCTTGCAGGCAAAGAGACGCTCCCAGCAGATCTCTGGAGAGGAGTGCCGTCCCCAACCACCAGTTTAGAAGTTCCCTCTCAAAGCCGGTCCCGGCCCTAAACCCTTCCTGTGCCAAGCTGCACAGGATCCAACTCGACAGCTGTCACGTGAACTCCTGTCGAGGAAGTGCAAAGCACTCAAGCGAACCGACTTGAGTTCATGTACAGTGACAATGACGACCGATGTGAAGACGGATAAGGCCAAAGGCTACATAATCAAATGCGTAGATTCCAAGCAGTCGAAGAGCACTGAAAGAGCACCTAGGAGGTCATATCAAAGAACACTTCCAAGCACCCCTGACACCAACCCATGAGGCCAAACAAAATGTGCCACACCGTGGCGGCAGCACGATATTGATTGATACCCCGGAGCACATATGACACGACTGCAGCAGAACGACTTCGGCAGGCAGAAGCACTCGGGGCCGTGGCCGGAGCACGATTTTCGGAGGCCAACACGAGCTTCACTCAGAGAACGAACGGCACTGCGGCGAGAGCATGCGTTGGGAAAGATGAAACGGTGGCGCTTGACGGCAGCCTGGTTGGCGAACAAATGGGATCACAAGGAAAAAAAGTTGCCATGACATGAGAAACACCCGAACCACTAAGGCAGCTACCCGGCAGAGCCATTGCAAGGTGCAGAGCTGACCCACCGCCTGAGTGGAACACAAAGCGATTGGTTTTAAGAGAACCAGGATCCTGATGACTCTCGTGACTCATAGAGACAAGCCCAGGTGAGCTCCATACGAGCGTTTGATGCGTCTCGACTTGCAATGGACTTGCAGCCGGCATGCCGTAGGCCCCAATGTCCAGGACATGCTTCGGAGAAGGCCCGGACCCTGCTGCACCCAAGAGCCTCGGCTGTCTTGGATCGAGATGGCTTTCAGAGCTTCACCTTCGGAGGTCAGGCGTAGTCAACCCCAAAATCCTTCGAGCGGACGGACATGTGTAAACGATGTCAGCAATACAAAGGGCACGGAGCACTGCGTGAGTATGCACATGTAGGCATCTATGTACATACATACGGTCGCCGTATGTATGTACGCATGCATTCATGCATTTTTTGACAACTGGATGCATGCATGCATCTACATGTATGCTTTAGGTAGGTGTGTGTGTGTATGTATATATATATATATATTCGTGTATTTGGCTACTGAGCCCACCTACTTTACATTTTTGCTCCTGTATCAGAGCATCTGCAGATTGGTAGCAAAATCTGGGCCTTGCTCCCAGCAGCAAATTTCGCCCAGCCACCTAACAGAACAGCAGCAAAACAGCTGCGTGTCCGCTAGCCAAGCTCTGACCAGGCGGAGAAGCAGGAAACGATGCGCCCTTGCCTGCGCTGCCCAGCTCCACGCCAAAACCTTGGCAAAGCCCAAAAGCTGCAGTGGACTATCATGGACTATCCTTGCCAGAATACAACGGCACTGACCCGGCCGAGAAAGCAATTGAAACTCCGAAACTCCCATGGCCTGGGCAAAAAGGGGCCACTCAATCGCTGCCCCGCGGTGAAGGGAGAAAGATCCAGAAGATTTGTGTTTGAGAGATCTGAGTGTCGCTCCCCGGCTCGCAGGGCTTCTTCCGAACTTCTCAGGTCCGATCTGAATGTCTGAAGCTCTTGGTCTAAGAGGATTGTTGAGGCTCCCGACATGTCGAAGCAGCCAGGGCCACAAATTATGCCAGCGAAATGCTTCCCCCCATGAGACACCAGCAGCCTCTATTGGCGGGATTCAGACCACGGCCAAGATGCTTCCCCAATGCACTGGCCGGATGCAGAGACATGCTCCCCCCCTTGTGTTTGGAAGATCATGGGAGTAAGTAGGGTACGATACGTCGCCTACTTAGGGACATGAATATTTATAAGCATGGTTAGCTTACTAATATGCTAGTTACTTACTGAGTCCCATGATACTTCAAGTACTGGCGTCAACGAACCGCATATCCGAATGACCGAGCCTGAGCGGGCCACGTACACAATTGGAATCACTTCTTTACCTCACAACGTAGCGTAAGAACCCCAAACTGCATACCATACTGCTTGGGGAAGGGAATATGCAGGTCCCACTTTCCTTTGAAATTTCGACCCCGGGCTACACAACGACAGCCGGACCCTCAAGATTGTCAGCCCAAGACTTTCGGCCCAGCAGCATTCCATCTGATGCACAACAGATGCTGCATCCCCCGGATTGGCATGATCCACGACCTTCCTGGCTTGCAGTGATATGAACACTTCTTAGATTGTCGTGCACTCTGGCCTCAGCAGCGCCAATTCCTTCTGGTAGGGTAGCCTGACCATGTTCTTCATTCGAGGCATGAATTTGCCGGCCCAGCGCAGGATGCCGCGTGGACGAAGGGATCGCAATCATACGTGGTGTCCTCTACATCTTGTCAATACCGAGTAATACAGAAAACGACGTTCGAACATGCAGAAATCGTCGAAATGACAGCTAATTTCGTCTGGTCCTAGACGACCGGATCTTCAGGGCTGTACATGCAGGAAATCTCTTTAGCCTGCCCTCAAAAATCCGGGGTCAGCCCGACCCCTTGTCGTGAAGACCTTCCAGTGATCGGGCCAGCGCCCAACATACCACGCAGCTTCGCCGCGACATCCAGGGGTGTCCACTTAGAGGCAAAAGGGCTGTGCAGTGCTCTGCGGCTCTGGAAGACAATGTAAATCACGTGGTTCAGGCCAAGAGTCCTCTCTCTTCCAGCTCGATGCCGTGGCCAAGGCCTGCCCAGTGTGGCCACAGCATCATGACAGTGTAGCTAATGCAACGAGACGGCTCTGGGTCTGTGTCTGTGTCTGCGTCTGTGTCTGTGCCTGCTGTCTGTGTCTGTGCCTGCTGTCTGTGTCTGTGTCTGTGTCTTT